TAAGTCGCACTGGTTTCTGTAGCATACACCTTTGTCGCACTCTGACGGGACGCCTTTGAAATAACAGTGTAGTCAATCATACCACGGGACCGCCTCGCCACCGCCCCCTTTCGGCGGTTAGGGTTAGACTGTGCCGTATCCATGAGTGCGTGCGGGTCGCCTACTCGCTAGAGGAGTCGGGCGCGAGCGGTATATCTACTGACACGAACGGGGAATATCATCCACCCGATCCGGTTTACGGTAAAACTCGGCGGCCCCGCAGTCGGCACAGTCTCCCAAAATTTTGTATGTGCCCTATTTTTGGGGCCTTAATGTAAATGAGCCCTTTTCCAAAAGAACTTCGGCGCTCAGACAGAATGGAGACGCACTCAAAAGGCAAACGAGTCAGATTTAACTCTTCGACGGCATGCATAACGAAGTGCCTTCCTGTGCCTGTGACCGGCTGCAGAGCGGGTTAAAATTGAGTTGAATGACGTCGACCTCACGAAACGACAACAAAACAAGAAAAATCGAATGATGGGCTATTTTTAGATATTTTTAAAACGGGCTCCTAATTTCTCGCAGTGTGCGCCTGCACTGTAAAAAATATTAGTAATTTTACAGTTCAGTGGGCTAGGAATTCGCAACACATGGATTGGAAATTTACTGTTTGGGCTGTAAAGTAGCCTTTACATGCCCAGTGGGCTGGTAAAGAGCCACTTACAAGCCCACGCAAGTGAATTTACAGGCAACATTGGCCAGTAAATTTCAAGCCCTGGTAGCAAAATTTACTGTTTGGGTTGAGAAAGGCTGCATTACCTACCCACCTCAGAGGTAATTTCACAAGGAGTGGGCTGGAAAGCTTACTTTCGCAACCACCTGGAAGGGTATTTCCCTATATCGCTGCAAATTTCCTCGCCCTGGACAGGAGATTTCACCGTGATGGGTGGGAAAAGTAATCTTTCCAGCCCACGGACGGTAAAATTCAGGAGAGATTTCGGTTGAACGGAAATCGGCACAACAGGTCTTAAAAGCTGCAGCGGCACTCAAAGAAATGATGTGCTTGCCTGTTAAGCTCTGTCACAATCCGGCAAAACCGGGCAAAACTTCCACAAGGATTCTGCATTGCGATCAACTGCCGCCAGATGGCGTTGCAGTGATCGCATCTCATAAAAACCTAGTTAATCGCGTTTAATTTAAAATTCCTTTGCAAAGTGCCTTTTAATTTTACGTGGTATGTTTTATGAGGAACCAACCTAACCGACGACGATCGGCATTTGTTCCGAAAGTCAATCATATTCTAGAAAAACTATGTTAAATGCTAGCGCTCGGGAGGTCCCCGCAACGATGCCTTGTTCAGTACGGTACTGCTCTCCTCGTCACGTCGTGGTGCGCCCACGTGTGAAGTCCCCTTCAACACGGCTACTGCATGAGTTGTTGTTCTGACCTGACCAATGACACCATCCGTGTTAATTTTTTCTGAGCTGATAGTAAACGTTGGCGAATGTTTAAACAGTCCCTTAGGACTGTAGCATCTAGAAAGTGGAAGCGGTGGCTCCGGTGGAACTCGCACTCGACATATGCCCTGAGCATTCTCGCTTCGCCCGCAAATTTCCACTCTCCTTGTGTGGCAACGCAGCAGAACACTCCGCGGGCTGGGAATTCGCAGTTGGTGGGCAAGAAAGACAGATCTGCTAGCGCGACCTGCATTTTTGCAGATTGGTGGCCAGCAAAGGCTCATTTCCAGCCCACGTAGTGAATTTACAGTTTGGGCTTGTAATGACAACTTTCCCTGCCCACTGGGCTGGTAACTTCGCGGGTGGTTTGGCCGGGAATTTACAGACCATGTGGGCATGTAAATTCCCAGCCCAGCGCGTGTTCAGGTGCGTTGCCACGCCGGGTCGGTAAAATTCACGCTGGATTTTTTTACCGTGTGCTGCACGCAACCAACGTCACCCTTGCGCGCGAAACAATCCGAGTGTAAACATTATTCGGCTCATTGTTCCAGACGAAGACGGGCGGCAATCACTCATCCCGCGAGGCACGGGGAGAGAGAGGAGGTTAACGAGGTGACGAAAATGAAGAGTCTCTCTCTCTCCGACCCGCGCGGCCCCCTCGTTGCGTCAGGACAGAATTAAGTGTGGCGGGAGAGTTTAACGACAGTCATGTGCCTACTGCCGTGCAACACAATGGAGACGGAGGTAATAGAAAGCTGTTTATTGCGGTATCGATTTGTTGCGCGCGCTTCGCGCGGTGCTCCGGCCGACAGCTCGTAACGATGACAGCTCCTCCTCACTCAGAAGGCACCACTCACAGCCGGACGTAAAGGGCAATAACTGGTGCGCGCCCGGGCGCCGACAGACGTCCACACGGTGCGCCTGCTCCCCCACCCCCTTCCGCTCCCCCCGCGCACTCGCGCGGCCACGTGCGGCGGACCTCACCTCGTCTTGATTGGCGTCGCATCCTTCCCTCTCTCTTCCCCCCTTCTTGGGATTAGACGGGTTGGGGCCCCGCGCAGACCGCCGCCGCCGCCCGCCGCCGGCCTTCTGCTCCGCTACACTGCCCCCACCCCCGCGCCGCCCGCGCCGCCCCAGCCCCGGCGCGACGCGGTCAACCATTGTTCCGACGTAATTTTCACTTTCGTTACGAGACAGGGCACGGCCGCGCCGGCTGCCGACGCCATTCGCGTTTCCTTTCCGAATCTGAATCGGAATGTGGCCGGGGGGCGAGGTGCGGCGGGGCGGGGCAGGGCGCGGGCGTGCCGGCATTTGCGGCGAGCATCCCTCACGCTGGAATACAGCGCAAAGGCGACGCTCAATCAGTGCGCGGTCCCAGCCGCCGCAGCGCCGCCACCCCGGGCCACGACCGCCGAGCAATGGGCTGTGAGCGATGGGCAAGACGGAAGCGTATCGGGCGCCACTGCTCTGGAAAAGTGGTGGGTGGCATAAGTTATTATTATCCTCGTGCCGTACGCATATCATATATCATGCATTCCTCATGGGGGAAAAAGTTTGGTGACGCTCTGGGCAACACGGAAAGGGGTGGTGTGTCTGTGTCACGTCACGAAACGCGTTGTGTTCCCCACTTGGAGGAGAGTGTGTCATGTTCTTCCATCATAGCGAGGAGAGTGCATGGAGATAAAGCGTGCGACACACATTACGTCACGTATAAAAGGGAAGGCGCCGTGTTCAGTCACTTTGCGAAGGTCTTCCTCCCTGCTGTGGCGCGGAAAACGGAACGAGCACAAAAAGCGGAAGTCGCGGGGACGTCCGGCTTGAAGCCGAGGAAGTGGACGAATCTCTGTCGCGGTGGCGGCGGTTATATTTTGGGGCTGCTGCTGCGGACCATTTTTGAGACCGCTCCTGTTGACTTGAGGGGGCGGCACGCGCTTGCAGCACTGGTAGCAGCAGCAGCAGCAGCAGCAGCAGCAGCTCTGGTTGCCTAACCGAGGCGTGGTGGCTGAGCGGATATTGTCCGGGCTGGGCCGGGCGCGGAAGGTGCCCGGCGCCTACAGCCAGGAGGCCTTTGGCCCGGATGGGCACTGCGCCCCGCGACACCGCCGGTGCTCGCGATAAAATCAGCGGGAAGGTGTCCTGCCAAGGCGGGAAAAGGGAGGTAGGGGGAGGGGGTCTTTCTTATGTCGAGCAACGTGTCGCTTTTTAGTCTTCACCGCACTAATGCGCAAGGCGCCTGCTGGGCTGCCCACGGAGTCGCATGCGGTGCAGTGTAAAGTAAAAGATGTTCCGGAGTCTGTGCAGTTTTCGCTCGTCCAACGACATGCTGTATAAATAGCGTGACCGCGAGGGGTGGAAGGGGGGAGGGGGGAGGGGGTCGCTCTTGTTCCACTAGGGGAGCGAGGAGGGCAGCCGCGGTGCGCGGAGAACAAA